CAACATCATCAGCAGTCGTCCTCCATCGTCCGCCGCTCTCAGTCCCGCCAGGCAAATCATCATGCGTCCTTTTTGAGGCGGAAAACCTCTTTCTTGTGTGATTCGCGGCAGCGTTAAGACAGTCGCTGTCGATCGGAACACGGCCGACGACGACGTTCCGGGTGACAGAGGCATTACTAGTCGCTCGTTCGTAAGGGCAAACGTAACATCTCATCGCATTCCAATCATCTCGCAAGAACGTAACCGATTTGGGCCTGTTGTGCAATAATGAGTTGAGCTGGCGCTGCGAAGCACGCCGCTCGAGGTCGCAAATCCTCACCCGAATGCATGCGTGGAAGACGTACGTATACGAGGTCTAAAAACGACTTCACGGCCCTGAGAACCGATCAGGAGGTGAAATGATCATCAGAGTTGAGGTACCCCGTCATGCCCCGTTGTTAAGGATCGCAGTAGGCGTGGCGGCGCTAGACGAATGACGTGCACGCCTGCGATTCCGCGGGAAGAGAATCCCGCGTTTCTGATAAAATCAGGCCGAACAATCGAACTGTCGACTATGAATTCCGCGATGTGATTTGCTTCTTGGCATGTGTGTTCGATGAGAATCCGTTCAGAGTGCTGGAAATTTACGACTTTCGTCATTCAATATGAGCCGAGTGTCTTTTCGATGGTATATCTTGTCGAGCAAGGTCGCAAATTCCGGTCCATGTAATTCATTAGGTACCAAGTATTGATTTCATTAGTGTGCCTGGTAGAGGCGTCACCCAACACTAGATCCTCTTCGCGCCAGCCGTGGTTTTGGCCAAGTAGATAAGTCATATTAGACACAATGCAAGTCATGATAGGATTTTATATGTTCGCGACATTTTTTTGGTAAACATATGAAACTTTTGGGCTACAACCGCAAGACGCAACGCTTCATGTCCCTCGCTCCCTCGCCCTCCTTAATCTCTCCCTCTCTCTTCTCTCGCTCTTTCTATCGTCTTTTTTTTTTCTCTTTCTCTTTCTCTGTCTCTCTCTCTCTTTGCAATCTCTTACTCTCCTCTTTCTTTCTCTGCTCTCTCTCTCATCATCTCTCTCTTTCTCTCTATCGTCCTATCTTACTCTCCATTCTCTCTCTCATCTCTCTCTCTCCTCGATCCTCTCGTCTAGGCTCATCTGCTCTCCGTCTCTCTCCTCTCTCTCTCTCTCTTCTGCTCTCGTCTTCATCTCTTCTCTCTCTCTCGCTCCATCCCCATCGCTCTCTCGGTCTCTTCTGTCTCTCTCTCCGTCTCCTCTCAGCTCTGCCTTCTTTCTCTCCTCTCTCTCTCCTTCTCAACGTCTCCTTCTCTCTCCTCCCTTCTTACTAATCCTCTTTTTCTCTCTTTCTCTTCTCTTCCTCACTCTCTCTTCTCCTCTCTCTCTCCTCTCTCTCTCTCCTCTGTTTTACTCTCGCTTCTTCTCTTCCTCTCATCCTCTCCTCTCGCCTCTCCTCCCAGAGCTCCTCCCTCTCCTCTCTCACTCCCCTTCGGTTCCCTCTCCTCTCTCTCCCCTCTCTCTCTCATCTCTCTCTCTCTCATCCTCGATCTCCTCTGCGATCCATCATCTTCTCGTCGCTCTATACACTGCCGCCTCTCCTCTCGGTCTCTCTCTCCATCTCTCGTGCTCTCCGGATCTGCAGTCTCTCTGCTCGTTCCTTCCGCTCGGCAGCTCCTTGCTTTCTGCTCTCTCCTCTCCCCATTCTTCTTTAACTCTCCTTCTCTTTCTCCCCTATTTAACTCTCCTTCTCAGTCTCTTCTCTTCAAATCTGTTCTGATTACGCCTAAGGTGGGTCTCTCGTCTCTCGTCCTCTCTCTCTTCTCTCCTGCGGTCCTCGTTACTCTCCTTCTCTCCTCATCCTCTCTATCACGTCTTCTCCTCTCTCTCTCTCTCTCTCTCTCTCTCCTCTCGCTCTTATCCGGCCTTTTTTTTTTCTTCAGCCCTCCCTCCCCTATTCACGCATAGGTAGAGATTTTGCTCGCGTGCGCTACATCTGTGGGATGCCGACCATCCACATATCGGAAACCTCGTCACGCTCGCGCACCCCTCGCTGCTGGGGCCGTTACAAACGAGCTCCGCCGTCGCGCTAAATAACGACGAGCCGGGTAAGCGTGGGCGGGGCGAGCGAGTAATAAACGACCTCGTGCGGCCCAAGCATCATAGTTAGCTACATTGTTTGCGGTATGATTCGCATGCCTCTTCCTTCCTCCTCTCCTCTGCCCATCTCGGCGGGCCGACGCGTTCTGCTCGTCTGCTCTCGTTTGGCGGGTTACGGGGGGCTAACGCGTGCCTGCCCGCTCTTGATCTGCATACATAGCGTAAATCGCTGCCGGATGATGCGAAGCATTTGTGGTGGCGGGAGAACGAATTAGCACGAGGAAACCGGCGAATCCGGCGGATTTATGCTCAAAGTGAAGAGACACCAGCTGAGGTGGGTTTGCTTGTTTGTTGTTTCGTGTGGCGCTGCCGCACTCAACAGAGCGCGAGCGTGTGCGATTGAGTTTGCGTGACAAATTCAGGTGCAAGGCGAATAGCGACGTTAGACGCTGAGCGTGATAGAATACGTGACGCGTGGATGGAGAGGTGTGGGTTGGAGGTGCAGGTTTTCGTTTAAAGTGTTGCTATTTCGTTTCGTTATTGGGATTTGTGGTTGTGTGTGTGTTGTGTGTGTGTTGTGGTGTGTGGTGTGTGTGTGGTGTGTGTGATGTGTGTGTGTGTGTGTGGTCTGTGGTTTTGCGTGCGGGCCGGGTGCCGTGATGTGGATGCAGCAGTTCCGTGGGGTTACACACAGAAAAGAAGTCGGCAGCGCCCGGGTGCAGTGCGAGCTCAAACTCGAAGACAAAACAGGTCAATCTGTCTCCAGCAATAACCGACGACCTGCTTTTGGCGGCGGCGGATTTGAATTCGCCGGCGATCAGCAAGCGACAGTCCGCGCATCAATCATTAAACAGTGAAGTTCAATGAGCGGAGGTAACCACTGAACTCACGGGGGATGCGGCACGGCAGACGACGGCGGATGCTGAGAGCAATGATGGAGCTGCCGTTTCGTCGGCGCTTGGCCTGGCAACCTCGCCCACCCGGGAATCGCGAAGTCATACGGGTGTCGACTAATGGCATCCGCTTTCGGCTAAATTGGCCAGACAAATTGGGCAGTCTGCGTGCGCAGCAACCAGCTGGCATTGACGGCCAATATTGACACGTGTTGAGGGCAATCAACAACGTAAGTGTATGATGTCTGGGCGCATGCGTGTGGATGCAGAGAGCGCGGGCAGAGAGAGCGGTGATGATGGGTGTCAGGTAGGATCAGTGTATAGGTGCGTGGTATTATTTTCCGCGTAGCAGAAGCGTTGCGCGCGCATGGTCCGTGGCGTATGGCGCAGTGGAAAGTACGCTGAAACTAAGAGTTAGCATGTCCGTTAGGATTATTCGTCCTGAATTTAGTGTGGCAAGTAGACGGCTAGCATATCCGGGTAATCCCGTCAATGAGTAGGTTGGGTGATTATTTAACAGATGCTTTTAAAACGTAGGTCACGCGTCGTGATGCAGAGCTGTGTTGCTTTTCTGATGAGTTACACACAATGCGCGAGTGCGTGTATCTAAGATGTTAGCAGATGCAGGTGACGCGCTCTAGTTCGATCGATAGAGGCCGGGAAGAGTCGATTGCACGCGAGGTCGACATATCATCATCATCGTCGCGCGAGAAAGAATAAGCCGGACTATTATCCGGACGAGGTCGGATGCGTCATCGGAACGCCGGGATTTCGATTATGCGAACCGTCACCTGTGTCCGGATTCCGTGCGGAATCGTCGAGCGCGGGAGCGTTTTCGCGAACGCGCTTTGTGTGGTCGTTGTCGCTAGGCAGACGATCGTGCGCGTCACATGTGCGGAGATGAATGTGGTTACGCGCTGCCGTCGCCCTGCGCGTTGTGTGTGTGTGTGGGCTATTGATGCCGGCCGTGCGCGCTCTAGGCTGAACGCGCCTCGGGTGACTGACTCGCAGGATCGGTTCGAACGGGAAACCTCTACGTGATGTCTTTGCCGAATTGGGATGTGTTTGTTGTTTGCATGGCTGGCTGACCAACGCCATGCCCTCATTTCATTGCGCTGTGTCCTCTCTGCTCCGTTGTCTGTCCGGCTCTCATGCTTCTCTCCTCTGTATTCTCTCACTTCTTCTACCTCCCTGCGCGCATCTGTTCTCTCTAGAAGATCTCGATTCTCTCATCGTTTACTCTCTTCCTATCTCGCGTCCCTTCTCGCATTGCTCCATTCTAGGCGTCGCTGCTCTCTTTCCACACTTTTCTGTGTGTCTTTTGTTATCCCCCTCTGTCTGCGTTCTGACTGTCGATTGCCGCAGCTTCTCTATCGCGCCTCGTATGTGCGTGCGGCGCGTGCGCATGAGCCTGAGTCACGGCCTCGGTAAATTGAACATTCTTATTATTCTCGATTTAATTCATTTATCGCGTTATAATTTATCAGTTTATCATATACTTCTAAACAAAGGTGAAACGGGATGCTAATAATTGTTGATTCGAAACCTCGGTTCTGACCCCTCATTCTCCCCTCTCATAATCCCCACCATCAATTGGAAATTTATCCAATTTCACTTTTCCTCTCCCGACTCCTTCTCCCTTATGTCAACTTCGCTAATTGCGCTCATCTGCTGCGTGTCTACACGCATAGCTGCTGTCCGTCCCCAATCCATTCAAATGCACTTGCCCCACTTTCTCATCTCCCCGCGCTAGTGGAGATAGCTCACGCGATTCCTTCTCACTTTCCATATCGTGCCGGTTTTCGCTTTCGTTTCGTGCCAGGCCCACTTGCCCGAGCGAGAGTTGTCGGGAGTGCGTGTGAGAGCTCGCTCGCACGGTTGGCAACTACGTGAAAAGTGTATTCAGGGCACGATTGTTGCATCGTTGCGAAAGCGAGAACAACATCGCGACCTCACGCGCGCCTAATCTATAGTGCTGCTCTTGTTATTTCACAGAACACAATAGCGGTCGAGTGGAGCGGCGGAGCGACGAAGAGAGAAGCAGAGAGAGAACTAGTGCAACAAGTGGACGATTTCTTTCGTCTGTAGACGTGTGAAGAGGTGTAGTGATAGTGCCAAGAGAGAGCGGGAAGGAGATAGAGCCGGACTACTAAAGAGCGAGAGCGAGCGAGAAAAATAGACAGCGAGAAAGATAGACAGCAAGAGAGAGAGAGAGCGAGGACCTCTTGATCTGTAGGGTGCTTCGCCTACAATAACACCGGTAAGTGTTGCGCTGGGATCCGGGTCTACTGCATTCTCACGCCCTTATTCGCGAGCATGCGCGCGCGCGCGGCAACTGGTCAGCTAACACCCTGAGCGCGGAGTAGATCCGCGTGAGGAAAGAGTTGAGCCTCCATGGGAAGAAGCGGAACACACGTGTGACCGCGCCGCAGGAATCATAAAGAAAGCGGTTCAAGGATAGAGATGATGTCCAGATTGAGACCTATGTCATTTTCGTAAATGTGGGGGTAGCCCCTTTAAAATCGACAGGGGTGTTGTTGAGGGCGTTGTTTGTTCATTTCGACAAACAAACATTATGTGAGTTCTATGAACCTAGGAAGCTACCTAGGGGATTAAGTAGAAATGACGTCATCTGGGTCTGGAGAAAGGAGGAAAGGTTGTTCGTCCCTTCTCTAAACACGGATTTTCGACGAAATCTCGTGATACGGGCGTGCGACATTGAGAAGTCTGAAGATTTCCCACGGTGAAGCCATTCCTGGGTTTCCCGACTCGACTCTGCCCAAGTCTATAGTCGATTATATATAACTTCGCTGCCTTTAGATTGAAAATTGCAGGAAAGGCCACCAGACCCGCACAATAGTCCGCCACCAACGCTTTATAATGAGGCATGTTCTATAGTCGAGTACGCTTATGACGTCATGATGTCTGATGCTGATGAAGTCACTGGCGGCGGATACCCTGCGGCGAGCCTCAGGTGCGCGTTGGAAAGCATTGCTCGCTGTCTGTGCTGCCGATCTGTCACTGATGCGAACAGCGATTTGAATTAGATTTCAAACTCTCAAGGTCCCGAGTGAAACTGTCTAACTCGTAAACTCGGCTGTACTCGCCGTGGTCGGAATTCGTGATGGGGAGGGATGCGGGACAGCCGGCGGGTGTGGTGCTGCACGCATGCGCACACAGCGCACCGGCCGGGTGTGGATTATGCGCTACCTCGATTAATATGCCACCGCGTAGCTCGAAGCGATGAGAACTATCGTTCATTTCGCCACACTCGCGCTTTGAGCGCATTAGAAATTCGCCGCAGTTCAGACGCTTGAAGCATGTTAAAGTGAGATCTACTGGAGAAAAACGTGAAATTCATTATGATTCTCCGCGTTTGAAGCGCTGACACAACCGGCTCGCGCTTGAAGCACGAAAAAACGCCAGCCTCGGTTATACGCGCGCATCTGCCGCGGATAACGACGAAGACAATGAGAAACCAGGTTCTGTGAGTAACCACCGCATTGTAAACAAGCGAAAACTCGCGGTGTCGAGAAAACGCCACTAGCTAGCAACGCGAGCATCTCATACTGGTATATCGTATTCAACCTCGCCCGAGTTTTTTGACCCGTTGACACGTGAACAAGCCAAACACCCGCGCCCAAGTTTAATCTTATTCGAATATAAGCCGAGGCTCTATCCAAACAATTCGCACTTTATATATACGACGCGAGTTCGAATGTTACGTGTAATCGGGCAGACGTCTTAGGACACACACACACACACACACACACACACACACACACACACACACACACACACGCACGCACGCACGCACGCACGCGCGCGCGCGCGCGCGCACAGGGCCACAGACACTTGGAGCGTTTCAATAAAATATAATGCTAAATAAATACGAAATCTATTTATAACCAAAGTCTTAATGTTTCTATACTCTCTTTCACCTATTATTGCCGACAATTTCCTACAAATGCCGTACAAATGCTTATCTGCAACAATTTGAACAAACGCTGGCTGCCGTCCATGGCTGCCGCTGCACACTGACACATAACTATATAGTATATATAGTATATATAGTTATAAATATAACCATATATTTATGTGTCAGTGTGCAGCGGCAGCCAGCGTTTGTTCAAATTGTTGCAGATGAGCATTTGGACGGCATTTGCAGGAAATTGTCGGCAACAATAGGTGAAAGAGTATAGAAACATTAAGACTTTGGTAGTAAATATATTTCGTATTTAGTTTGCATTATATTTTATTGAAACGCTCCAAGTGCCTGTGCACAGGGCGGATTATGACAGCGCTGTATTCGCTGCCTAGTATATAATCCGAAGATCATATTCACGATGACGTCTCTATTGGTTCTGACTGCGAGGAATTCACAAAATTGCATCGAACGTTTGACAAAAAAATTTACCCAGTGCGTTTACGACTGCTAATAAAACGTTGAGCGAAAAACTGGAATATCTATAGACTGGTACGAGAAACGGAATACCTAGTAAATGCGGCACGTAAAGTAATGACTGACGCGACGCTGGGGAACGACTAAGATTTGTGAAAGCTCCGACGGTGTGGTAAATACTTATTTCTCCGGCATGTATATATAATAATCCCTATATTTACCATGGGCGTTTCCACAATCGTTTCTATTATGCATACAATAAGCACGCGCGTATAAGTTAAAACACCGATGAATTACCATGGCCATCGGGGATTTTAGATAGTGTAAGTAGATTGCTGATTAGGCAAGGTTTAATTTCATTGTGTCATCATTGTTGATTTTGCGAGCGAGCGAGCGAGCGAGCGAGAGAGAGAGAGAGAGAGAGAGAGAGAGAGAGAGAAATAAAGAGAGAAAGAGAGAAGGAGAGGACGGGAGGAAGAATGAGACAAAGACACCCCACCCAGTGATAGAGAGTGGCGATACAGTTAGACAGATACAAAGAAACAGAGAGAGGGAAAGAGAGAGAGAGAGAGAGAGAGAGAGAGAGAAAAACCGAAGGACTAAGGGGAGGGGACGATTGTCTGAGAATACAGCGGTAGTAAAACAGTGCGCCTTGGCAACGCCAATTTGGATATGTTCACGAAATCGTAATTTTAAGAAAGGAACTATAGACTCGCGCCTTTACGACCAGCGTTGCTTGTTGCTCGTGCAAGGGCGCGAGTGAATACCTTAGGACCAACGCGCGCCATAAAACTTTCGTCTGAATTTGAATGCAGGCTCCTAGATTGCCTCACCGTGATAACGCGGATGCGGGGTGAATCCATAATGCGGTAGAGCGACGGAGACACGGTTGGTCACTTGTTCGTGCACAGACAATGATGGCTGACCGCCCGAAGTGACGGAGACAGTAGGTCAGGTGCGAAATATATGCGAAGTGGCGAAGAAAGTATGTTCGGATGTCGTCCGCAAGCTTATTATCTATTGTAGGCGACTGTACGGTATACCTACGGGTATGTTGAATGAGTCTACGCTAACGACGCCGCAGGGGCGGGTGCGTGGAGAAAGATTCAATTAATAGTTTAAATTTTAAATTAAAAAAGAAAATGAGGATGCTCGCGTACTCGTTCCGCGAACGTTCATGCGCCTTTCAGCAGCAGCTGCGATGCACGAGAGTTACCCCCATTACCTGTATATATGCGCGCACTCACTGTCGCCACGCGCGCTACCACGCGTGCTGCTGCTGCTGTGCGTCCACGTGAGTATGACACGGGCGAATAGGGAACAGTGCATGTGTGGTCATGAGGGAGACATAGATGCCCGCGCGTTGATCCCAGTCGAGAATCACTATATACATATACATGGGGCTCGAAACCCGTTACCGTACGCGGCTGCTACACCTAATATATGATATGAACTATGGCACGAACGTCCTTCGCACATACACACATGCAGGTGCATCCGCATAGACACGCACGCATTCACATACACATACACGCACGCACGCACGCACGCACGCACGCACACAAACACACGCACACGCACACGCACACGCACACGCACACGCACACACACACACGCACACATACATATGCACTCGCGCAGATATGCACGCGCGCACGCACGCGCACACTAAGTATAGCCGACGCCACACAGAGAGAGGAACTCACCGATGAGGAGATTAAATGAACGGCGTGGAAGTGCGAAAGAGAGAGAGGATCGAGTAACGACTCTCGTGGCTTATTCGTTAACAATAACATCGTTCAACCTATCCAGATAAGTGTGTAGGTCACGATAATTGCCATATATAAGCGCATTTTGACCCGTTGCGTTGGACTATCAAACAATTGTTCGCGTGTGCGCTCGTCTTTCGTTATTCGAGCGACAGGGCAATAAAATATATTGCACATGAAGGACTCAAGTTCCGTAGCAAACACTAAGAGAGAAATAAAAACCGATTAATTACGTCCCTGACCTAGCTCGTGACATATAGACATGTTCAACACGCTCGCTCCACAGTTCCAAGTATCTCTTGATCCACACGTGACCGCAATGATGACTGGCGACATTTCGGACACGATCTGCTTTTGGCATTTTTCCTGTTATTTTCTTTTTTGTTGAAACAGTTATATGATAATTATCGATGGTATTACGGCTGCCCGCAAACCCCAATTCTGATGCGAGAAATGTGTTTTAAAGGCGCAATTTTGCTTTTGCTGTCGGCGAATCAGTCGGCTTTGGCGCGTCGGCGGGGAAGGAGCCACGCTGGGCGATGACGGAGCTAAAGCGTATCGAGTGGCTTTGCCGATCACTCTCACGACGAAGGCATTTTCTCTGGCACGCGAGAGAAGGAACGCCAGTTCTCCCTCGTGACTGCCTCGCGTCTAGGCGGATGTAGATATGGGACGCTGACCCGATTCACGCCCAGCGCGACAACGGTCCGTGCATCGTTCAATATTAATAACGCAAGAGAGAGAGAGAGAGTGAGTGAGAGAGAGAGAGAGAGAGAGAGTGAGAGAGCGCGCGAGAGTGAGAGAGAGAGAGAGAGAGTGAGAGAGCGCGCGAGAGTGAGAGAGCGCGCGAGAGTGAGAGAGATAGAAAAACAGATAGATAGTGAGAGAGAGCGCGAGAGAGGGAACACGCGAGAGAGATAGAGAAACATATATACACATATATTATATATAGAGAGAGAAAGAGAAAGAGAGAGAGAGAGAGAGAGAGAGAGAGAGAGAAAGAAGAGGAAAAGAGGCAAACCAATATGCTACCGAGAGGGTGGGCGTTTGCCGTTCGTCTGCGATCCGGTTTTCAGGGCCCAATTCTAT